GCAGTTCCATGCCATTTGCCACCAAGTTCTAAAACTCCGTTTTGAGATCTCCAGTAAAACACCCAATCACCAGACTTGAAATCACGTTCCGTTCTTGGCCTGGCTCTGATAGCCTCAAGGCTCGGTCATCCTGACATGCAAGCACAGCACGCCTGGCAGATTGACGAATTACATGAGTGTGGCCAAATGATTGCGAGGTCTCGACTGCATCCGAGGCTACGACATTAGGTTCATCCTGCATAACATCTTCTGGGATTTTGGGGTTCCTACCAAGCACCAATTGATTTGGACTGACACCAGATTGTGACAACAGGCTATTCTTCGCTGTTTGAGTTTGTACAACACAATCTAACCATTCTTCTTCACTGGATGGCTTGACTTCGTCGCAGACTCGATCTAGGATTCGAGAAAACCATTGGCCATGTCTCTCAACTTTGCCCAGTTGCCAGTGCGCATCTGCGGCTGTTTGATGCATGCATATGCCAGAACTTTCACAGTATTCAGCAAACGTCTCTCCCACATTTGGTTGAGCGGGATCAGTTGTGAGGTGAGTCGGCACCCCTGCCCATGCTATCCACTTGTCTCTCAAGACCTTCTTCAGCATGACTGATGTTTCACGTTGGGATAAAGGCACCATGATTTGCAAGGAAGTATATACCATAATCCACTATGTTAACACAGGGGATCTTTTGATTGACTTTCCATCCTTTGAGATACTTCACATCCATGCCTATATGGTGATTAAATTCCAACGAATGTGGCACATTGGCTGGGAGAGCTGGCTTCGGCTGCTGATGATTCTGACAAACTGTACACTGCAATTTGCCTGCTAGTTCTATGGCCTGAGCTGATGCTCGACGGAGGATCCGGAGCATGTCGTTCGTTGACGGATGTCCCAAATTTCTGTGCAGTTTGGCAAGCGCTTGTTTGATCTTGGCTTCGGAACCTTCTCCCTCAGGAGCACTCGCTTCTGGCTGTGCAGGATTGGCTTCTGCAGCTAAGCATTCAAGTTGACCGACACATGCTATGGAATGGACATCCAGGCGATGGCTACCAACCCCAAAAGCTCTCAACATGGTTTGCACAAACTTGGGAGTGTATTGAGCAACAAAATCACCAACACGCTGTCCACTCTTGAGCTGTCCGGCAACAACCCTGTGTTCATGATTACCTGGGCAGCGGCAAAATGCATCAAGCTGCTCAGGCACTTTGGAGTCAAACACCATGAGGCCGGTGCCTTTTTGGATGTGCTTTCCGGTGTCAGGGCATCGCAGGTCGAATGCACACATGTCAACTCGAAACACCCCATACTTACGCTTCAGGGACTTTAACTCTGGTGACCTCCATATGCTAGATGGCCATGGGTGTTCCAACATGAATGCACCTCCCCGTTGAATTTGCTTCTGAATTTGCTTCACGCTGAATCGAAGTCGCGCTCGATTCCTCCTGAGGAGCTGTGCTCTTTCCAACGGTGTCCTGTAATATTGATTCAAGTTTTCCCATCCTCCAGAGTGTGTGCATGTGGGGCACACCACCAGCAACTCAGGACATGTCTTGTCTAGCAGTCGATCAACAACATCTTGAGTTTTTGGGTCAAGCAAGTCCCAACCTTGTTTGATGTCAAATGCTAACCCTTTGCCACCATGCTTCTCAACTTCACGTGTAAACCTATAGGAGGTGAAAACAGTTCAGCAACTTGACATTTGGACTTCTTGGCATTGTCTACTGATTTCAACTGCGCTAACAAGCATCGGCACTCTTTTTGTTTAAGGGTAACCTTTGTACGAGTTGACCCTTGTTGCTTGGGCTCATTGATAACTTCCCTAGAAACCGTCCCCACCCGAGACTCCTGGTCGTTGGCATCGGCAGATGGCTGGGAAGGCAGTGAAGGCTGAACCTTCTGCTTGAAGTCGAGGATGTTCACAAGGAGCTGACCAGCCTCATTCGTGATCATGTTGGAGGTGATCTCAGGGTTGAGCATCTTCATAGAGGCCGTGCTGAAGTCAAGGCGCACCTTTAACTTCTCCAGTGTTGGGCGGCCCAAAAGCAAAGGCGCCTGTCCAGAAATCACGGCAGCATCAATCAAGCCTTGGGTTCCGCTGATCGCCACTGGAATTCTGACAGCTTTCACCGAGGTCTCTTCCTGACCATTCCCAAAACGGAAACGGTTGGTGGCAGCATACTCTTGAGCGGCACTTTTGCCCAGGGATACCAGCTTCTGATTCAGTTCTTCCAGAGTTTGAGACCCTATCAATGTGCGACCACATCCAGTATCTATGACCCCCCAACCTGGTGAGGAGATCAGACCAGCTGACATCACCGAAACCACCTGTGCTGTACCGACAAAGGAAATCTCACCATCCAATGTTGAGCACTCCACCAGATCCGCTGACATGGCAGGCTTCGATGCTGATGAGCTTGGCTCCTTTGCAGAGGAGGCTGAAACATTGCTACGGCATTCACGGGCCCAATGACCCACCTTGCCGCACTTTCGGCATTTGGTTTTCTTTTTCAGTTCCTCCACCTCGATCCTAAAGGACCTGCTGGAAGCTGCAGAGGCTGCAGAAGATCGATTGCCAAAGCGCCGCGACTGCTGGTGACGCTGTATCTCCTGCCTACGATCTTTCCAAGCTACCGCCAAAGCTTCAGCGGCTTCTCCCTCAGAGATCTCAGCAGACTGTGACTCGCCTGCATGATCAGCCAGAAAGGCCTCTACATCACCAAAAGAATCCCATTCCTCCTGAGCAGTTTCACGGTCGCCCACTTCTACCACATCCTCGTGTTCGATGTGGAGGGCCCCAATCGGCTTCTTGGCTTTGGCTCCTGGAGCCTTGAACGCTGGAAAACATGACCTGAACGCAGCAGCTATGTCATCAAACTGTAAGCTACCCTGAGTCTTTGCTTTGATGATAGCCTTCTCTTGTTCTGTGAGGCCTGCACAATTCAATGTGATCCAACCACGTGCAGCTGACGGAAAGTCAGTCTCCGCCTTGCGGCGGCATCTGTCGAAGGTGTCCTTCACCCTGGCAGTCCACTGTTTGCTAGTTTCTCCATCAGTTGCAGCTAGGCTAAACACTTCGCCCAGAACCTCACCCATTTGGTCGTGCTTCTCTTTCTCTGGAAACCTGGCCTGGAGTGCTTTCCAGATCTGTTCTGCTCCATTTTCAGCAGACATCTCTTCCAGAGAAAAGTGTTCCACCGCCATCCAGCAGTGTGAACAACCACGGCCCACGTTGTTTTTCAGTTAACTTCTCCATTGTAACGAGCTTCGCCTGAGCCCATGCCTTCCATTTCCGGAGTTCCTTTCCGGGATCATCCACATCTCCGCTGAACCGTTTCAGCGATCTTTCGTCGGCCATCGCGCCGGTGCCCCAGGTGGGGCTCCGCTACCAATGACGATGGTAGCTCGGCCCCACCTGGGGCTGCACTGCGGCTCTTTTCTTCATCTATGGGCACTTCAACCACAAAAGGTCCGCTGCAGAGGACACACCGATGGTTGGTATGTTGCTGATGCACTGAAATCACATCTCTATGTATGTCTCTATGAATGTATGTCTCTATGTATCTATGTATGTCTCTATGAATGTATGTCTCTATGTATCTATGATTGTCTCTATGTGTGAACATTATGCTATGCTTTGCCATGACTCGGACGGTGAGCACAACGAAAACATGCGTGTACCGATGTATGTACGATTCTCACATGATCTACGTATATGAAATGCAGTGTAACACATCGCAGCATGTTGTGTATTTATGCGTCTATGAATTTCGGTATCTACGTGCATGTGTGTGTGTGAGTAAGGATGTTTGCCATACGTGTGTGCATATGTGTCTATGCTAGAACCAGTGTATCTATGTATACATCCATATTTCTATGTATGTACCTATGTGTGCGTTCCTGTTAGTACCCCTGGAATTACATCATTGCCATGCAGCGTAGTGTAACGCAATGGATTGTAATGCAGTGAAATGTACTGTAGTGCAACGAAATGTAATGTAGTATGATGCCATGCAATGCAGGTAATCTAAGGTAAGGGAAGGAAACAAAATTAACTATAATGTACTGCGTGTTTGTCCGTATGTGTTGTGTTGTAGAGTAACGTGGCGTAGCGTATTGTCTGTCTTGTATGGTGTTGTATTGTACTGCACTCCTTTGTATTGTATTGCGTCCGAGTGTACTGTGATGTGTTCGAAATATGTTTTTGTATCATTTTGTATCTATCTTTCTGCCAAATTATGCACTTTTGTATCTGTGTATCATGTTGTATCTATGTATCTATGTGTTGATGTATGAGCGGGTGGAGGGGTTGATGTGTGCACAAACATGCAAGTACATGAACATGTAAGTGTAGTGAGCATATTATGTGTATATGTGTGTGCGTGCTTGCAAGTCTGCAAATGGCTACTGTAATTATTTACAAGGAAACTGGCACTTCTCTATTTAGATTTCTGTTTGAAAATATGGCATGGAAACATCAAAGGCGGAAATGCGAAAACAACAAGAACGGCGCAAGCAGTCAAAAAACGAAAACTGCGAAAACCGCGAAACACGAAAACAGCGAAAACCGCGAAAACGCGAAAACCGCGAGAACAGGCGTTTAAGAACGAAAGCTGCGAAAACTGCGAAAACCGCGAAACACGAAAACCACGAAAATTGTGAAAAACACAAAAACCACCAAAACTGCGAGAACAGCGAAAGCCGCGAAAACGCGAAACCGCGAAAATCACGAAAACCGCGAAAAGCGCGAAAACCGCGAGAACAGGAAAACGCCGAGGAGACTAGCATTCCTGTTGTCCGCATTTCTCGTTTTTTGCGGTTTTCTCGTTTTCTCGGTTCTCGGTTTTCTCGGTTTTCTCGGTTTTCTCGGTTTTCTAGTTTTCTCGGTTTTCTCGGTTTTCTGGTTTTCTGGTTTTCTCGTTTCCATGCATATCACCGTTCTGGTCACGTCGCGTGGATTTCTTGCTTAGAGGGATCATGACACTGGCTGTTACCACAGGCGGATGCCAAGTACCGCCGAAAGTTGGCGTGTCGGGCGGCCCGAGCAGAGGCTGCAGGCCAAGCCATGGAAGTGGCTGAGAACCCCATAGAGGTGGGGTGAGCTCTTGGGGCTTCGGCTTGGTGGTGATACCGGTGGAGTACACCCAGAGTTGGTGCAAATCCTAGGTCAAAGTCATATTAAATCATATAAAATGGAGACAGATGCAGAATGACGTATATAGATAGATGTGGACATCAGCGATCGCGCCCAGCTTTGCTTGATCTAAAGTCGCAAGTTCTTGGAGGTTGCAGACGACAGACCTGCCACAGAGCAGCAAGTCTTGCGGATGGATGGCCAGTTCGTCGGGTGCCCGTGTCATTTCTATATGTCAAAGCGATAAAAAATGCATGTGAGATGCTAGATGTATGTTGGATGTGGTTGTTATGCAGTGAAGCTTTTTGGCCACAACCTCAAGGTGAGCAGCGGTGCGATCCGCCAGAGACTGCAGGAAATGGAGGTGCGATGCCAGCAAGATTCGTGGATATGAATGAGCAATATCCACACTGCTCAGGATGCAAGCACGAACCGCGCGCGGTGAGATAAAATTCAACCAGGTACATAGGAGTAGTTTTGACTCCTTCAGCCCTGGTGCGTGTGCAAAAAGATGTCTAAAGCCGAAAAGATACTGTATCCAGCATGACACATATGGCAGATCAGTTGGAAGTCAAGCACATGTCACTCAAGAGTTGCGCGGCATTGGGAGCTCTGAGACCCTTCTCTGGGCCGTAGCCATTTTGTCCAAACCAGTGATAGATCGGGCTACGGAGTTGCTGCCGTTCGCATCGGCTCCGGAGTCCAGTGTGGGTGGGGCTAATGACTGAAGGTCAGTGCTAGCGAAGGCTTCCATGCCAAGGTGGGCAGGGCATTCATCTACCCACGGTCAACTGAAGCATCCATTTTTGCAGGAAACAAGTTTGAATACGACCCAGTTGGGCGTTGGTTGTGTGCTTTGAGCGCAGGGACACATGGAGCGCAAGAGAGACGAGGGCAGTCGGGACCTTTGTTACTGGCGTCGCGTCTGTAGAAGGGTGACATGATTCTCTTGGGCCAAGGCCTACGAATGGCTTGTAGGAGCGAGGAGCATCAATGGACAGATAGCAGCTGACAACAAGGATTCTACCTCTCATGATGTGTCATGATGTCTCGCAATGTCTCAGGCTTTGCATGGTTTGCTTCCACAGTTTGCCCACATGCATGTGCAAAGCTTTCGATTGTGGATATACAGTGCGCACACATTACATATAGTAGATCCAATAATGGATGATCTATTCGAGTCGCTTCGCGACGAGAACCGCCCGCACCCAGGGAACAGGACAGAGGAAAGAAGCGGGCCTGCTTCCAAACGGGTCCAAGTTTGGGCCAAGTTGCGCCATCAGAGCCAAGTTGGGTCGAGGTTGGAGTGAAGTGGGTTGAAGTTGGGCCGAAGTTGACCCCAAGTCGGGCCAATGTCCCGTACACTTTTTGGCGCCATGCTGTGTCGAAAATGCCACCCCTCCTCCTGGATGAATCTTGGACCGAACTGGAGCCCAAGTTGGCGCCAATAGGTCATGTTGGGCTGAAGCTGGGCCCAAGGCGATCCAGATGGACTCGAAGAAGAAGCAAGGTGATTCACATGGAAGCCCAAGTCACGTCCAAAGTGGCACAACTTGGGACCCTTTGGCGGCAGCTTCACACCAAGTTGGGCCCAACGGGGACACAACATGGGGAACATTGCTTCAAACAAAGCGTCGTCGATACCCAAAAAAGGTGGAAAATACAAGTGAAATTGGTATTCTGGATTTCGGATTGGTAGCGAAGGGTTCCCATTTTATTTTGGGGGTCTGGGGGTTGGGACGTGTTCGGTCGACGCCGCTTTCACGACCGCAGCCGTTCGCAACCGTCCGCGATGAGGACGCTATGGCCGTGCCTACAGAGATTGCTGCAAAAGTGGTCTGTTTGGAGGTTTTAAACGGTGCGTATAACTTCGTTTCATGTAGCAGGCTTGGCACTTCGTGATATTGCAACATGCTGCGTGATGTGTCAAAAGTTATGTGTGACAGGCGCACTTTTGCAAAGTTTTCAGAGAAGATGAGTTGCATTTGTTCTGGCAGGCGCAGCACTTTGAAGACCTCCATCTTCATTTGACTGCAGCACTTTAGACGTATCGTGTTGCGTTTTTTTTTGCGGATCACATTGTCATGGCGTCAAGTGACGACAACGTTCAAATTGCGTGGCAGGTGTTGCAAAATTTTGTGACACGTGCTGAAAGTGACGGAACCCTCGCACGAACATCGATTTTCAGGTCGCAGATTTTGGGGTTCATTAGGAACCGTCGATTTTGTAGCTACAAAGTGTGGAATTTGCGGAAGTCTCGTAAGAAATGCTCGTTTTGAGCTTCCTGCATGTCTCGTCTTGGTTCTCGTGCGGGGCGTGCCTGTGGGGGTTTCAAAACGGGTTATGGTGTTTTGTGTGGCAGGTGTGGCACTTCGTGACATTCCGACCTGTTTGAAAAAGTGTCGCGAGTCGTTTTGTGTGACAGGTGCAATACCTTGGCGAGGTTCTCCGAAGGGGACTTGCATTTTCGCGGCAGGCTCAGCACTTTGGACGCCATCTTCATATTTTGCGTGGCATGCGCAGCGCGTTCCACGTGTCGTGCTGCGTGTTTTTTCGACATTGTCAGGCCGCGTCGAGTGGTGACAACCTAGAAAATGCGTGGCAGGCGTGGGGCATAGTGAGAGTGTCGTTTTCCGTGGCACGCACAGCATTTGGTGAAGATCCGTCGTGTGTGGAGCGTGGCAGGCGCTGTATTTGGGACACTTGTGTAATTGCGGCTTTCCGCATTGGCGCGACTGCGCGAGGTGCGACGTTGTCTGTGTCTTTCGTGCCATTTTGCGTGGCACGCGCAGTACTTGGTGATGTTGCAGCTTGCCACTCTAGACTCGGCCCTCCCCACTACCTTCCACACTTCCAACTATTACATTGAACATGTCAAGTTCTAAGCCGCATTTTACGGTCGACGCTTCACACTCCGCACTTTACACTGCACAGCTGACATGCCACATCCGCAATCCACACTATACTATCTACACTCTACACTCCGCACTTTACACTCCGCACTCCACACTTTACACTCCACACTTTATACTCTACACTCCACACTTTACACTCCCCTTTTTACATTACCCAGTTTACACTTTACACTCCACACTTTACACTGAGGACCACACTTTACGCATCCCTTTACACTTTACACCAGACACCTTACACTCCACACTCCACACTCTACCCTTGACTCTTTACACTTTAGAGTCCGCACTCTGCACTTTACACTCCACACTCTACTCTTTACATTCCACACATGGCACTTAGCACTCCACACTCTACACTTTACCCTCCACACACTACACTTGACACTTGACACTTTACACTTTAACTTTACACTCCGCACTCGACACTCTACACTTGACACTTTACAATTCCACCCTTTACACTCTTTACACTCTTTACACTCTTGAAACTCTTTACACTCTTTACGCGCTTTACACATTTACACTCTACACCTCACACCTGGCACTTTACACTTTACACTCCACACTCTGCACTCCACTCTCTACACTTTACACTTTACACTCCGCACTCTGGAATCCCCACTCCCCGCTCCACACTTTACACTTGAAATTCCACACGCCACTTGACGCTTCACGCTTTACACCGATCACTCCACACTCTACACTGCACACTTCGCACTCCACATTTTACACTCCAGACTTGACACTTGACACTCCGCACTTTTCACTTTACACTCCAAACTTTACACTCTACACTCCACATCTCACGCCTTACACCTTACACCTTATACTTTACACTGCGCACTACACTTTACACTTTACACTCTACACCTCACACCTTACACTTTACACTGTGCAATTTGCACTGTACACTTTACACTCCACACTCTGCACTTGACCCTCCACTTCTACACCTCACACCTTCCACTTTAAACTTTAAACTCCACACTTTACACTTTACACTCCACACACTGCACTTTAAACTGTACACTCCACACTCTGCACTCTACACTTTCCACTCCACATTTAGCACTCCAAACTTTGCGCTCTAAGCTCTACACTCTACACTTGACACTGCGCACTTTGCACTCCTCACTCCACACTCCGCGCTTTACACATCCCTTTACACTTTAAACTTGACACCTTACACTTTACACTCCACACTCTACCCTTGACACTTTACACTTTAGAGTCCGCACTCTTCACTTTACACTCCACACTCTACACTTTACACCCCACACTCTACACTTTACACTGTACACTCCGCACTCCGTGATCCCCACTCCCCACTCCACACTCTGCACTTGACACTTTAAATTCCATACCCCACTTGACGCTTCACGCTTTACACTGTTCACTCCATACTCTACACTTTACACTTCGCACTCCATATTTTACACTCCACACTTGACACTTGAGACTCCGCACTTTACACTTTACACTTGACACTCTATACTTCACATCTCACATCTCACGCCTTACGCTTTACACTCCACACTGCGCTTTACACTCTACACCTCACACCTTACACCTTTAGACTTTGCAATGTGCACTTTACACTCCACACTCCACACTCTACACTTGACACTCCACACTCTACACCTCACACCTTAGACTTTAAACTTTAAAACTTTACACTTTACACTTCTCACTCTACACTCTACATGTGTCACTTGACACTTTAGACCCACACCTTATACTCTACACTTTACACTCTACACTTGACACCGCACACTTTGCACTCCACACTCTACACTACGCTCTACATCTCACACCTTACACTTCACGCCCCACACTACACTTTACACTCTACATACTCTGCGCCTCACACCTTACACTTTACACTCCACACTCTACACTTGACACTCCACACTCTGCACCTCACACCTTAGACTTTAAACTTTGCATTTTACACTCCTCAGTCCACACTCTACGCTTCACACTTGACACTTTAGACTCCACACGCTACACTTTACAGTCTACACTCTACACTTCACACGTCACACTCTACACTTGACACTCCACACTTTGAAATCCACACTCTACACTTTACACTCCACACTCTACATCTCACACCTTAGACCTTACACTCCACACTCTACACTCTACACTTTACACTCCACGCTTTACACTCCACACTTTACACTTTACACTCCATTCTCTACACTTACCCTTTACACTCTACACTCCAAAATCCCCACTTTACACTCTACATGTTACATTCTCCCCTCAGCACTCCGCTGTTTATACTGTACCCTTCAGACTCCACACTCCACAGTGTACACTGGTACATTAACAGTGGAAGAACGCGCAAGACTGTTGAATTAACCTTTTTGACAGACGTGTTTTACGTGACTGCATTCGGGTTCGTTGATTTCTTGTTTTTTTTTTTTTTGTGGGGTAGTGTTTGAGGCACCATAAGCCACATTTTTCCGCTTCAGGAACTTGCAAATTTGGTGCAGCACTTGGCTACACTTGGCCACGGCGCAAGTGGCTTGGCCGCTGAGTTGCCGAGCGACTCAGGTGAACTCGGCCAAAGCATTGCTGCCTCGGAG